CCCACGGGGGACCCCCCACGGTGGGGCCCCTCCGACCCAGGGGTAAGCAGCTATTTCTAATACATCTCACTCTCGGGTGGTTGCTCATCTGCAGCTCCCACCCATGCACTGTGTTTCCCCAGTCTGTGCCTGCGTGGGCCCCCCCTGCTCAAGGGGATGCTTCAGGGTCACCTATAGGATCTGGTCCCCTATGGGGCACCCACCCTGCGCGGGGTCCCTCGGGGCTGCCCCGGCTCACATCTCGCCTTTCCAGGGATGAACGCCGCCGTCCGTGCCGTCACCCGGATGGGGATATACGTGGGAGCCAAGGTCTTCCTCATCTATGAGGTTGGGGTACCCCCCTGCTCCCAGCCACAGGGTAGGGGGAACCACCCCCCCTGTGCCGGGGTACCCCTCACCTCTGCCCCCTCGCTTAGGTTTATGAGGGGCTGGTGGAGGGGGGAGACAACATCAAGCAAGCCAACTGGCTCAGCGTCTCCAACATCATCCAGCTGGTGAGGCTCACCAGTGGGGCCATGGGACCTCCGAATCCCACCCTCCAAACCTGCATGACGAGCCATGTCCCCCCCTTATCTCTCCAGGGTGGGACGGTGATCGGCAGCGCCCGCTGCAAAGCCTTCACCACCCGTGCGGGCCGGCTGCGGGCCGCCCGTAACCTGGTGGAGCACGGCATCACCAATCTCTGCGTCATCGGTGGGGACGGCAGCCTGACGGGCGCCGACATCTTCCGTTCCGAGTGGGGCGGGCTGCTGGAGGAGCTGGTCCAGGACGGTGCGTGAACCCCCTTCCCCAAAATCCCTCAGTGGGTAGAGTGAAAGCATTCAAGGGGCATTGAGGTCCAGAGGTCCACCCCATCACTATGACACCCAGGGAGGGCTGGGCTCCTCCGCTGCTCTGTAGGAGCCGGCCCAATGCCGGGGGGGGATGGGAGTGCCCTAAAATAACTGGTGGCGCGGCCATCCCCCCTGCAGGGCAGATCAGCGAGGAGGTGGCACAGGAGAACTGCCGCCTGAACATCGTGGGGCTGGTGGGCTCCATCGACAACGACTTCTGCGGCACCGACATGACCATCGGCACCGACTCAGCACTGCACCGCATCATGGAGGTGATTGACGCCATCACCACCACGGCACAGAGGTGAGCAGGCTGGGTGCTGGGTGCTGGCCCACCCCGGGGCATCACACCCACCCTCCTTCTCCTCCCACACGTGTCCTTGCAGCCACCAGCGGACGTTCGTGCTGGAGGTGATGGGCCGCCACTGCGGGTAAGCCCCCGGGG